CGTCAGAAGAAAACTGGTTATGCTTGACAAATCCATGACCTCACAAACTTGGAAGTTAATAGATTCAAGATTGAAGAGACGCACCAGTACGTCTATCTGACATAGAACACCGACTCCAACAAATCGATATAACAATGGCATGAAACACCGTTAGAAGATTTTAAATCTTCGTATCTGGGAAACTGTCATTGGTCGGAAGGTTCTTGGCCTTAGGGCTTTTCCACTGTTGACGTTAAATGCAAAACATGGATTCCATAGGTGAAAACTGCTCAAATATGGCAGACATCGGTACGCAGCATGAAATGGCGTGTGATGTCATTGGAAGAATGAAAAATTGAAATAACAATGCAGAAAATGCGTTGTAAGGAAATCAGTCAATCTAAAACGGCCATGGTATGATTTCTAGGTTAATCGAAAGAAGAAATCAAGAACGTTGCTAAAACAGCGGGATCAGAGTTGAAAGGTACAAAGCTTGTAATAAAACATTTGAACGGTCATCAGCAGTGAATCGAAAAAGGTTCATGAGAATCTTCACTGTTACTGGTGATCAGTAGATATAAAAATGATGAATGTCCTCGACCGTCCTCAGTTCATCAGAGAAATAGGATTAGAGGAGAATGTAAAAATCGTACTTTTGTTTTCTCATCGTCAGTAGCCACTCCGCTGATAGATTTGAGGTACGTGGCCAGCGTCTGCATGTTCGTGTTCGTGTCATCTTCGTACAGGGCAAGACCACGCTTGCTCGCGTGACTTATGCGGGACAGGATCGACGGATTTCTTTGAACCTCCTCCTTAGGAGGCAACGGCGGTATCGAATTCTTTTCTTCCATTGATGAACGTATCGGTCTCCTAAAAACCGCCAATGATCAACGACTTTGGCAATTAAGCTGACCCTTTGACTGAGCACAGTAAAACGAAAAATGTGTGCATCATGCGGACGCCGAAATAAATCTTTCAGAACTTTGGCAGCTGCTCGTAAGAACCGCACAGCCTTCGTTTGAAACGCGGACTGCGGACTTTTCTCTCCTGTTCTAGTCGAACCTTCTCCCAGTCAGTTGACGGCTGTTCCACCGAAATTTGACAAGGGTTAACGGCGGTTAATTTGAGTGATTAAGCTTTATTAAGCCAAGCCGTGTGTAAACATCCACCACGGTCAACGATCGCAAGGATAATTAGGGGTCAGTGAGACCGCGAGAGGCCAGGAATCACAACAAAGCGAGACTTATTTACCTGAATCAGTAGTGCCACCACCAGCTTGAATTCCGATCATATGTCGGCCACGCTCGACGACAACACAGGAAGGTGACTGCTGCTGCTAGTGCTGACTAGTTATGTATGAAGAAGTAACACATATCGATTGTATCGTGGTTGTGAGATCACTTTTTCCCACTTGCGAAATCGTATCGGTATCAGAAGTTCAGACGTTCGGTTCAGGGCTCAACCGGGGGACAACAGGAGCGGCGCAGCCTGTGAAGTATCCGTGAACATGGCCTTCTCTCGCTCAGATTTCTGGCACCCGCAGTTGCCAGTGGCTCCTCAGACGAAACCGTGGCCTTGGTCGCCTTAAGCGTCGTCGTCGACAGTTGGTCCATAGATTTCTGAGTCCCTTGTCAAAACAAGTCACGTGTGTTCCCACGTTTCGTTTCTTTGGCTACTGACGTCGAAC